GGTTCAGTGATATGAAAAATATGTGTTTCATTTTACTACAAAATGAAGATTAACCTTCTACGATAAATAGCACAATTTAAGAAAAATTGGCGCAACTAAACGAAATATCCATTATACTTATAATTATATTCTGTTATGACAATAATAGGTTTTGTCTTATATTGTATATACATATGTATAAACTAAAACCAGGTAAAACTAATCAACAGACAAAGCTACATAAACGTCATCTCGAGTTAATAAGTTGCTGATTATTCTGCTCTTGCATTGTAGTCTGTCATTGTCATATTTAATAACACCATGGTTGTTAAAACAGTAGGTAGTGGTTGAACATTAAGGTAAATTAATATAAACACTTTGTTTAATCGCAATAATAGTAATTGTATTTTTTTTTTCGAATAACGCATATTCTTGTTTATTATGTAAACTAACAAAGAAACATATTAAATAATAAATTTTAACAAAATTTATAACAGTTCCTACTACTAAACTGTACTGAGTAATAGATCTAGATCAATTATGGACGATGATTCCTTCGGCACACTACACGCTTCGACTCGTCTCCCTTCTTGAAGGGAACCCAAAAAATACTTTGAAAGTTATATTTAATTATTTATTTTAAATGAACCATCTAGGTTACTTTCCAGTGCCTAATCGGTTTTCCAAAATGTACTAGGAAAATAGTACCTCACAGAAGATGATAGCTATTTTGGATCTTGCCTGAAATAAAACGTAATTATTATTATTACTAGGCCTTATTTAATATTGTCATAAAAATCATCGACAATAAAGTTTCCTTAAACCCAATCCAAATATCTAGTTCATGTTAGGTAGTAATATTACTAATTAATAATAGTTCGTTCAAATACACTTTTAATAATAATAAACAAAAATCTTTAGATGCACATCTTAAGGTGAGATTTATTATGGACATTTAAAGTTCTTTCATCTTGTAAACCTCTATGTTTGCCGTCAAGTTTCACAATTTGTGAGACAAAGAATCTTGTGAATATTTCATGTTTTTGTCTTAAACGCTACTCCTTGAGAGTCAAAGAGTTATTTCCTAAACAGACACGAGTCATAATGTTGAATATTCAACACCGGAGCTCTTAACACTTGAGCAACTGTTAATAGAACTGAAATTAGGTATACTTCATTATCATAAGTGCTTATCTACATAATGAGGATACAAAAAGCAGGCACATATGTACAGATGCATTCGTATAATAGTTGTAACATCTAGGTATTATGATAGGCGTGATTCCAAAACAGTATAAAACTACTGTATTTTACGTTAATTTGTAATTATTTCTAAATTTAAATTTACAATCCTGAATTAAATTTCACTTAAGAGGCTTAATATTAATTCAAACATAAAATATATTTTTATTTTGTCCTGAATAATGTAACGAAATAACCCAAAAAACTTCAACCGCGAAAAGGCAATCTTGAAGCTATGATTTAATAATGACAAAGGCAAATAATGCAGAGTTCCGACTCATAAAAACACCAAAACTTTTCTATCTTGTTACGTAACGGCCAGACTGCATTAAGACTTCTTTTGAAACAAATAAAACGACAATTTAATGGGGTTTGCACGTCATAAAGGCCCACATATGCCGTAAAACTGAATTTAGTCCCTGGAAGTCAATTTTGGTAGAGGCGTAAAACGCAACGACTCTTTTTATAGTCATTTCCTACAGTCCCTTTTATAAAAGCCTAACTCTGTACTAGATAAATCTATCTTAAAATATAAAACTAATACAATACTTTCGAAAGTAGTTAACGTATTTAATAAAATTTTGTAAATTTGTATTATTTGGTCCATATATAAGATAATTTTTATCTCGGAAAGAAAATATCTAACCTGGTTGTTAGTTGTAGGAAGCAAAATATTGATTGCCAAATCAATTTTCTTTTCATTTTTCTTATTTCTTTTGATGATACGTAGAATGGCAAACAAGCTGAGAGCCCATCTGATGGATAATAGTAACTATCGCCTATAGCCAGTACAATGGACGTTACTGAAATACTGTGATGTCCATGATAGAGTATAATGGACATTACAGTATTTGTTATTGATATTTAATTTCATTCATTTGACAGATATGGTTGACTGGGAGAGAATGATTTTAGCATTAAGTCCACCATGTACACATATTTGTACTAATGAATAAATAAATAAAATAAATAAATATTACAGTATTATACGTTACCATTTCTAAGGATGATTTTTTTAAATAAATAACGCCTACGCTAATAGTATACGCTGGTGGGGCACCATTGAGGGATGATAGGTGAGAATGAAAAAGCAGGTCAGTTAGCCCATCATGATGATACATCTGGAATACAGAACGATGTTTTTCAGGAGAAACCACGTGGAGGTCGACAAGACTGGGTACATTACTAGCACTAGGACTAGTAGTCCTCATTACTAACAATACCTTCCCCCCCAGGACGATGATATTATACCTCCATCTTCTATAATTTCACTGCCATATCCCACCCTTCAAACCGAAACACAACCATACAAGCGTAGTTGCTTCATGACAGAAACACGAGTTGGGCAAAGGTATCTAAAATTATATAATAAGAAAATTTTAAACAAATTAACCAACTTATTGATGATAATGACGAAATAATGTTAACTTCCAATTTCCTTATTATCATAAACCAAATGATGAAGTGATGCAATATTATCAGAAATATAATCTTTTGAAATAAATATTAAAATATAAATATATACAACATTATGAAATGTGATTTGATTTTGTATACAATTTATTATTTTATCCACTTCCATATAGAAGAGGTTCTCAATTGATCTATTATATATTTTTATACGTTTCGCAATAATTTATTCGCCAATTCTGAACCGATCTACATATTATAAATATATATAATAATTATTACAACATTATAATTTTTTAATTTATAGGGTTGACTTTTATACTTATTTATTTTTTATTTATTCTTTATTGACCACGTTACAAAAAATTTACTGTATTATTTACATATAAATTCTTGAATTGACCACAATCTTGTTAAATCTTTCAAAATAAATGCTATGAGTTCCTTTAAGTATATTGTTATTATAGGTACTCATAAGCCAGACGCCATTCATTGAGAATAACAATATACGTCCGAATTGTAATGCCCCCGCAAAGAGAGGCAAAAAAAGTCCCGTTCCCGGCATAAAAGCCAAAGCCGGTTCGTCTAAAGCTTTAAAGAGTTCCCACCCGCAAAATAACCCGGCTAGTCGACAAATGCCATTGAAAAATATCTGCTCTTGGCGTATACGCTTGTATCGTAGCTTATGCCTCAATAAAGACGATAAAACGATACCAAGACTTTGTAATATATTTTATATTAGATAATTTGTTCTATCCATTTCTGTTCATATGAATTTATGTGTTTATAAGTAACTCTATTTCGAATACAGATCTTTAATTATACTAAATAATTTAGTTATGTTCCACAAATATAACCAACTTTAAGTGTGACAAAACTACTTATTTTGATTTACAAACTAAACGATTGAGAAGATTTTGATAAAATTCCTGTGAGAACAATCTGTAAGTGTAGTTACAGATTGTTTTAACAATAATTTTAAAGAATTTTAAGGTTGTAACATTTCAAACAAAAATATCCAAATCGATTTATAACTGATGGAGTTAAAAGAATGAGAACCTTCTGTATGAAGTCATAGTAAAAGTAGTCTTTTACATATTATAATTCTTATAATAATAATAATAGATGTAATAAGAGATATCTCGTCAGCTGGTAGAAATCTATGGCGACATATCCTTAGCCATTCAGCGTGGAAATATAGTAAGTCGCCTATGTAAGGTGCCAGTTGGCAGTGAACTCAAAGAATTTTTTTACCTTTTAATGTTTTAAGATCTTTATTTTCATTTCTATATTTTAATTTGAAACTTTTTTTTAATTATCCCAATTATGTATAATTTGTTTGTTACTGAGACTGCAAATATGTAGACGATCTTTTACATTTAGAAATAATTTAATTTCATAGATTAAATCTATAACTATACATACATACGTATTGCAAAAATATATTTTTAATTACGGAGATTTGTACGCTTCCACTCGAATACCACAAGATGCTAATTTAGAAGTAAAATTGAAACGATGTCGAGTGTTTCGAGGAATGAGTACAGGGTAGTGACCGTACGTAAGCTTAGCCTATAATGCGTCACTGTCGCGTCACATCTAATCTTAGCTCTAAGACAACAGTTTGACCTCTACCTGACTCATGCTTCTAATCAGAGTCATCATCGTTAATTAATTATTAGAAATATAGTATAATTATATATATAAAAATAATCTTACGAATTATATCCGTAAGATTGATTTTACATATTAATATAATTATTATGCCTATAGTGTGTATGGCGTAATTTGTTTTCTGTGCGGTTTTTCCCCGCATATATTAAGCTCATGATATATTTATTTGGTGTAATAATCTAAATTTTTCTTAAAATTATTTGACTACATAATCGAGATTGAATATAGAAAATCCAAATATTTTATAAATTTTTAAATTTTTTCATTTTCTTCACCAACTTCATTCTCGCAACTGAGATATATATACACTTATTAATTGACCGCATACGTAGTATGCAGTAAAATCCCTTTCTATAACTATTTATGAATACTAATTATATAGAATTCCACATATTTAATTGTATGCCAATTTTTTTTTAAATAATATAATTCCTTTATATGTAGCTTATATTATTTTACAAAATCTTTAACGTTAGTCCTCTCATATTTATACGCAACATTATTACTAAATTATTTTAGAATAATAATATATAATTAAGTATTTAAAGTACATGTAAATCTAAACTCATGTTAAATGAATAATGTCTAAAATAAATTAATGAAATTAAAATAAATGATATTATTATTAATATAATCTAATTATCTATCTATTACGTGTAACTGGAAATTTAACAGTATTTTACATATTGTTGCAGATTGAACGAATATACTGTCGGCTGTACAAATAAAAGAACCGTACATTGACATAAAGGTTAGTGGAATCCTTATTGTTTACAAATGTATGAAAAGTATTATCCCAGATGTGAAGAAGGTTACATGATAATAATAATCGAATTATGTTCTTGGGTCTATTGGCAATGTACACAAAAGTAAAATGAAACTGATAATTTGAAGAATTCTATGTAAGATGAGAATTGTCTTAATTATTTTTATTTTTTCTTAGATCTTTATGAATTATATAAAATTACTTAAACGCTCTGTTACTTCATCAATCTTTTAGCAATAAACAAATATTTTTATGCAGCTTAGAATAGCAAACATGCTGACGGCCTACCTGATGGAAAAGTCATCTTCGCCTATAGACATGAGCAGTACTATAAACATAACAGGACATAACATTTACAAGCTGTTATCCGCAGCTTTGCACGCGTGGTGTCGTGTTTCCTCTTTAAGTTAAAATTTTCTAAACTGTCTTAGTTGAATAAGAACAAAAGATTTTATAAGTATAGATGTGTTACTGTTACCTATATCAGATATTTAGTCAACCTTATTTACATAATCAAATTAATGCCATAAAATCTACAAATTCTTGCGTAATATGGCAACTAGCGAACAATTGAAATTGTCAATTTATTTATTTATATTATTTTACTTGTAAATTTAAAGTAAATAGACAACAATTAGACCAATTTCTCATCATATTAACGTAGCCTTGCTACAGTTACATTATAATTATTTAATAGGTTTACACTTATGAAAAAAATGTGTCATATAATATAAAAAAAAATATTGTAATCACATATTCTTTAATACTAAATATTAGTAACATTTCCACTCATTTTTATAGAAGCTCGATAATGTTTATCATAATCAAAAATAACCAATCAATCCATTATTAGGCAGATTAGAAACTAAAAGTAGCTTTACTGGATTATTTACATCTGTGATTTAACATATTAGGATTGTCTAAAATGCATCAACAGCTTCTTAAATTGTAAGATTGATCTAAATAAATATATTAAAAAATGCAATAAATTATCTATTTCATACGTATTCGAACGAATAAGTACATACAAACCTATAAAGTGTACTTATGTATACACATACATATATATATATATATATATATATATATATATATATATATATATATATATATATATATATATATATGTACATGTACCTATATAAAGATACCATGAAAATGTATTTGTTCAATAATAATAAAACTAACAAAGCTAATATGGATACAGATGTTAGATGTAATGATGAAATACGTATATGTTACGTGTGCAATGAAAATATGTCTAACGGTAGGTTTGCATATATACATATAAAAAACAATTTTTATCAATACACACATGTATTTAATTTATATAAATGGAAAAGGTATTCATACATTTTATTTGAAAAACAAACTGAATCAACAGACGTCGTTCTTTCTAAAAGCTATTGGACAATATTTGATTGAAATGTTTGAATTGGCAGATAGAAACAGTTTGTATGTGTAAAAGAAAAATGGAGGTTTAACCTTCTTCCGGCCAACTTTTTCAATTTTTCTCACATAAGGAGCTTCCTCGTACTTGAAATTTGACACGAATATTTGAAAAAAATATAAGCTGAATTGGCCTTTTGCGCTTAGCAATACATTTACCAATTCGTTTTTATTTATATATATTATAAAATCCTATTTATTCAAGATTGTTATATTTATGTTATAAAAAGTTCTGTTATATTAATATTATTTATAAAACCTCCAATTTAATTATTTAACTTATATAATTTACTATTTTTTCGATTTAAACTTGTTCCAAAACAGGCGTAAAATCTGGTAAATTCCATTCATTCATAATATTCGCTGTAATGTAATATTTACAATAGTTGACTCTAAGCGGAAACTATGACGAACACGGTAGTCCATTTACACTTTGTCGCATCGTCTACGTGCATACATAAAAATGTTACATAAATAATCATTATTTGAAGAGAAAACGTGAACCTAGCCTTTTCACTAACATTGTCGTGTCTACTGCCATATTAGCTTCACCATTAGCATAGCGACACTGAAGTTAAATAATATTCTACCCATTTGCCGACTTCGTGTTTGTTGACACTTCCAAACTTCCTTATAATTCTATTATAGCCTTTTTTTATTATTTTTTTAGCTACTTCCTAAAGGTTTTTTTTTTCGATAATATAATTTTATTAAATGTACTTGTATTTTATTCCGTTGTCTCAATTAAAATTATTTTCATTAAATATACGCCATGTGGTCCCGGTATAGAATAGGACACCCCTTTCTTTCCCATGGATGTCGTAAGAAGCGACTAAAGAAGGGCGAGGGATGGGCAGCAGCGTCCCTCTTAAACATCTCCAAAGAGTAACTCTTGTTGGCAATCCGCCTGCCAAGCGTGGCAACTACTGGCAAAACCCCCTGATATGATGATAATGATGATTATTATTTATATCCGGACCAGTCTTAAAACTTCATTCCTTTATAAAAGAAAATATATTTAAGTGGATTTAATATATACAAAAAATAAAACTACTACAATAAATATAAAATACAGCAACATTTTGTCGAAGCTAGTACAAGCTGAAAAAAAAAATAAAACCTAATATTGATACAACAATGAACTTGTCACTAAAAATAGGTCAAAGAGATATCAGTGGGTTATCATTTTATCTTTCCATAACGTTGAAGATAAACTACGACATAATATAAATACAAACACTTTATCAACTTCAGGAATGTGGTCCTGTTATCCAAGTCCTGGTACTGCCACATTGTACGCAGTTTTTTTTTGAACAAGTATTGGAAACATAAAATGTGATTATTGAACACCATCAACATCAGAACATTATTGTTTCTCATAAAAATAAAAACAAAATAATATAATTTGCATTGGATAAAAACGGCACAATTGTCTTTTTAGTGTATACACGATTGACCCATGCTATTTCAGTCCTTACTAATATTAGAAATGAGAAAAAGAGTTTGTTTATTTGTTACCTCTTGGCACCTTAACAATTGTCATGTAATTTGGTACGCAAATAGAATTTGGGATGGAGAAAAACATTGGCTACTTTTTTTATCCCGGTCGAACGTGTCCCGGTTACGCGGTTGATTTTTCCGGTAAAAACAGAGTAGTATATATATTTCTTTGTTGAATAAAATATAATATATTTAACAATAATAATGAATGATAGATGATTAGACCGATTGCCTTGTCTTCAAGCTAACATAGTCTTGGTTTTGGAAAATTGAACAACAACGTACACACGGTACCAATATCTTAACAAGCATTCGTACACATAGCATTATCTAATCTTTCTTTCTTTTTACAAAAGAACAAAAAGTGTGATGATTTGTAAATTATTTACATATTTCTCTTTTGCATTACCGCTGCCCACTCACTACTTCCTATGTCACTGTGTAAAGTTGATTGGAACAGATCTCTTTTAAAGATAAGTTCACCTTTGCTTACTTTATCACTAATTGTTATTACTACCATATATTTTAGTACAAAAAAAGAATATGATAAAGTTTCTCAGAAATAGTTTACTACTTAATAATTGAAATTTTGACGATATTACTTTGAAGTGAATACCTTTTCCTAGTTAATATTATGTAGTTGAAGACACAGATTCTGGAATCGACTCATAAGTCTTTTGTGAAATGTGATCACTCTTAACACTTTCCAAAGGAAGTGTAGCCTAGTCTTCAAGAAATCCTTACTAAAATTATAAATGTAAAAATTAGTTTGTTTATTACGATTTAGCGCCTTAATGGCTTAACCAATTACTGTGAAACTTGATATACACCTACTATATGAAATGGAAAAAGGCATAAACTACATTTTATAGTAAACTTATCTCTTTCACGCGAACGAATGTACGGATAAAAACTAACAAAACCATTGACTTCAAAACATAAAATATCTATTCTAAGGAAACGATATTTACGACTACAAAACCAAAAGTAAATTGCATGCAATGAGGTTGGAATATCAAAAGTTATCCAACACAATCGTGACATATAATATGTCAGCCGAATCACACATCATTGTGTATCCGTATTTCTGTCGCGTCTGTATACCAATACATCCTCGTAGCGATCGCGCCCTCAATACTGATCAGTTGCACGTGATCTACCTCTCCAAGTATAGTATTTTCACTTCAAATCTCAGATTCTTCAATGCCCTCAAATTCGACTTCCGTCACCAAATAAAATTGCACAGACGAATGCGGTTTGGCTCAAATTGTTATGCAGTATTTGTTGAAATTCGTTAAGCGTACCTATTAGTAGTATTACTGTGAATAAAAAATACTTCCCGTATGTCAATTATGTACTAAATGTGACTTTTTTTTAAATAGACATATAAATAATGATTTTATAAGCAATTTACAAATACTCCAATATCATGTTTTTATAACAGCATTGCATTATTAATATATTATACTTATTAATCCTTACTCTATTATAAATATAAATGTGAGTTTGATTGTTTGTCAACTCTTACCGCCTTAACCAATCCAAAACCAACCAATCAGAATTTTATAGTACGGAGTCCTTCAAAAAGGTTTCTTCAAGGTCGACAAAGCGCACGTGACGCCCCTAGTGTTGCAGACGTCCATAGGCTATAGTAACCGTTTTACCATTAGATGAGCTGTAGGTTTTTTGCCACCTTCGTAGTATAAAAAAATCACTGTGCAATTTGTTATATGTACATTCACAATACGGAGATGGATGGAGAAAGACATAGGTTACTTTTATCCGGATCACTGAACATGTCCCTGTCATGCGAACAAATATAGGTATACATATTTTTACGCATCAAATATATAAAACTAAGTACTCTAGCGTGAAAAGTAATCTATTGTAAAAAGGCTTTGGAGAGCCATTAGCTTGTTTCCAACAGTACCAAAATGGCATTCTCTAGTTCCTTTCAAATCAAATCAACTTTATTTCACATAAAAGTGTAATACAGAAAACTTATTTCTTTGTATTACGTTTACGTCTGCGTAAAA